TATGCTTGATATAAAACCCGATGGGGTTTTAACTGGCATTAACTTCCTTGAAAGTTGAAGGGAGTGTAATACGTACGCGAATCGCCTACTATCGTTTTAACATAGGCAATTTCATCCGAACGCGTGTGTTTAAATAACAGCTGTCCTACTCTTTATCCAGAGGCTGAAGAGGCGTGACAATTGTGCTTTTCGTCCTAGAATCATGGTTAAAACCCTTGTGTTGATGAAATAACTCGGGGTTGGGGAACTGGGAGTTGCGAAATTACTAGCACCGGTGTTGGTCGTTGGATAGGTTTAGAATATGAGACACGCATGAAAATGCAGACGAAAGTTAGGACGGCGAGTACGCAAACACGATTGGGGTCTCGCGGCCCAACTAGTAAAGCATTCAGTGAGGTGACCAACTGTGCATTCCAACCAGGATTGAGACGAAGGTGAACGACTACGACAAAAGGTAAATCCGAAACTGCCCTTCAGATGGCGTAACGCTTTCACTGAAAAAAACGTGTCCCGTAATACTTTGCACTTACGGCCGTGTGTGTTTGTGTGTGCGTGTGAAAGCGTGTGCTATGCCAGTATCAGCAAACGATGGCCCTCACAGCCTGGTATGCACTGGCAGTTTCCTGACACCTCGTTCCCTCTCGGTAGATGCGCCTGTACTTTCTCTGGGCATACAGGTGGTGGGCATGGCTACCCAGTCATCCTCGTCCTTCTGGCCCCTCTTGAGGTGTTGCTGTTGTTGTTGCTGTTGATAAAAACTCCTGGTCAAGTGTATGGTGCAGTGGTACACCTATTTGCGGGTCTGGCCGTGCCAGCCACCTGCACCTCCGCCCCCTCGCCTCCGATCATCTGACTTTGTCTCGAAATCGGCTCCAGGTAGGGAGTGGGGAAGCGAAAGTGAGGTAGATGAATTGAAAGTCCACAGTCACTTTTCACTAACTCAAGCGCAAATCACAGTGACTGCTGCACCTTGGTTTGTGGCAATCGGTGGATACCGTCGGAATCGACGGTCGAAATGTTGTGTTTGTCGCTGTGCGAAGCGCATTACGCCCGAAATTTTCAGGGATGGAAACGAATATGCGAAGACTAGGTCCTTGTTGTAAAGAAGATGAACATCCGATCTCTGGGACAGTAGGTGTATTGGTCTGAGCTTTCGGCCTCGTATAGGAGGCCATCGTCAGAGACTGTGAGAATGCGACATCAAATGAGCAGTTTTTGTAGTCAAGCCATGAAGGGGGGGGGGTGTTTGTGTTTCTGTGTGTGTGAGTTTGTGTGTGCAGCAACGCACGAGAATTAATTAGGTAAAACTATCCGGAGACAACCGTAGTTCGCACTTGCAAACTGTGTTAATGGATTTCTACCCGACGTCATGTCAAACTTATTCGCCCCTCATTCCCACCAAGGTGGAAGAGGATAAATTTATTTCTTAGGATGGGGAGGCCGTGTATCTCGAGACTTTTGGACTTGCAATAAGCCAGGGCTTTTTCCGACTGTAAACGACTACTAAAGCCGCAGGTCTTCTTTTCTCCAGGTGCATCAGTTTGGCGCTTATCTCAGCCACACTGAAGACGCATTTAATTAGTGTTTTTTTCTCTACAACAGATGAATTAAAGTGATTAAAATAAAGCGGTGAGCGTATTTTAGGGATAGATAATTGCATCTCTTCTATGGGTGGACAACTTTTGCCACTAGGTAAGTTAGTGCTGTAGCTTGGATGTAGCATAATTAAACCAGTTGTTTGGATTTTGTGGCATTGCTCGGCAGCTCCAGTTTCTGAAAATGCGATTAAGGTAAATATGCATCATGATGAGCGACACGAACGGCCGTCCTTGAAGTCGCAGCACACTATCTCAGGCGGGTCTTTGGTCAGTACGGAAGGTGCTCCGCCTATGCTAAAGGCCCTTTGCAAAGAGGGCTGCGTTCGAATGACCGCCATTTCTGCATGTTTCTTGAAGACCTCATCACAGTGGCTTATATCTGATATCTAGAACTCGGTTGGTCGCTCAACGCTCAGGCCATGACCACCGTAAATCAAGGTGGCTACCACTCCGCTCGTTCACAGTTAGTGCGTCATGCTCCTGCAGAAACACCAAGTTAAACAGATGTGTTCTCGGGGGTGCCAGACTAACTTGCCCTTAATTAGCTGGTCACTCTTTTTTAACTGTACTGATAGTTTTAAGGAAACACCACAACCCTGCAGGAGTCTCCACGCGCGTCACTTCTTCTGGATGATCAGGTCGCTTGACATTCGATTATTAACTCTTACAGTAATTCTAACTCTTCCTGCCATTAATAATCGGGGGTTGCCGATAATGTCTTTTGCTAGGAGGATCGGCAGAAATATGGTCAGATTGTAACAGTACTGTTTTGAGTTTAGTTGGCTTTTAGTAACTAAGTTGTACTGCTTGCCAACAGCCAGGAGAAGAAACCTATCGAAGATGCTCAACGGGCGGAAGCGAAGTTATGAATGCCTCACCACTTGGTATCCTACGTGGCTACGGATCCGCTATTTATTCATACGGCAATAGGCGCAAACGGATTCACTGGCTCCTCGAAAAATACATCTTGAATGGGTGGAAGGACTTCTCAAAAGCGACGTGGGGTGAAGTGGGGGCACTGTCTCGGACTGATTCTGCTCAGAGACTGAGACTGTCAAGTAGGAAAGGGTTGATTAATTGGAGCAGCTGGCCTCGTCTATGACTTATTTGCCCTGTGCATGTGTGCGTGTGTCTGTGTTCATATAAAAAATTTAGTCTAAAGAGCCGAGAAGTTGTCACAGCGGTCTTCGAAGGATATTAAAGCTGAGGTGACGTGTTTACCCCAAAAAACGTCACCCCTGTACGGCACCCACGACAACAACCAATGCCGTCACCGGTGATAACACTCTGATGTCATGATGCCCCAGTCGAGGTCATCGACCCCCACCTTCTTCGTCACCCCCTGTCACAATAACCGTAACGACGGTAACCAGCACCGCACCAACGGTGGGAACATTGCAGACGTCTCACTAAACACTAGCCTCACCACCGCCGTATCCACCACCAGTGGTGTTGACTCGGTCCTAACCTATCCTCAGTGTGATGGAAAATTCACCACACACATCTTCCTGGTCGGTCACTTGCGACTCCGTCGCAGTACAACCGGTGCACCAGTGAGTCCCATAAGAACGATCGGTAAGCGACCCCTACCATTGTATATTCCCAAACGAAACCGACATGGCAACGGGCTCGTGGCTCAGTGGTTAGAGGCGTGGATTTCTAACTAACAGGTCGCGAGTTCGAGCCCCGGATGTTCCACACTTCGGGGTTGGGTATGCCTGGCTGACGACGACTTATAAGTCAGAAATGGCCATTCCGGTCTCCTTTGTCTTTGTCGGTAATAACATATTAGTCTCGCCTAGACTGAAGCATTTCCCAGATGAAGAGCGTGAAAAGCTGGCATCATGGTGACTTATTGCAAGGCAATTAGTAGCCCTTCGGCGAGGCAGGCTTTTTAAATTTCCCCAAAAACTAAAGAGGGGACCGTGCCGAAACATCTTCTGGTAACTAATAATATGCGGATATTCCCGTCAGTCGTAATGGGGTCGCTAAAGCTGTTCTCCATTAGTAATCGCAAGTCCTTTATTCGCCCAATGTTTCGGATTCAAGCTGGAACCCATCATCAGAGACAGTACCAGATACTGCACTTCCCATCGATCAATCTCAAGTCCCCTAGCTGTTGGAAACATCATAATAATGCCCTACCACCGCCTTCTGGGCCGGCAACAAGTGTGCATTCGTAAGTCTATAATGGCGCCCGTCAAGACTATTCTATCTCTCTTTCCTCAATGGCAATATGGCCACTCTATTGCGCCTTCATTACTCAAATTGATTAAAGTAGCTCGGCTCACGAAGTTTAATTATTCCGCAATCCCTACACCTAGGCTCAACTCAACTCATCGAATAACTCCCACCCCACCACTCAGTCCACTTTTTTCGGTTTAGGAGCAATTTTTCGTTTGCCCTGTTATTCAACACAAAAGCTACATCACTTAACCCTCAGCCGCGCTAGTAACCACACTGCTAGCGGATGTAATTACCTACACTGAAGGTTTGACGCCGTCAAAATTGTAACGGCTTAATGATTGGCTGCAAGGAGTACACTGAAGCGGAAATTTTTTAGGACCAACACCACCCCCCCCCCAAGCGGATGATACTACTTGCTTCGGAACGCACTCACCAGAGACAAAATAAGATTTAGTCGGAAACGGTGTGAGTGTGTGTGTTAAAAAACAACTGAAAAAATACAGCCAACATACAGGGGTACCCTTAAAATTGCGAACTAATGAAAACAGTGGCTTATCCTCGCACACGCAGTCGACGAAACACAGAAAGAGCACGAGGATGGGAGATTGAAAAAAAGGCGGCGATGGGGGGAGGGACAGGGCTGGGCTGGGTGGGGCGGTGAAAAGAAAAGAAGTATGAAAGCTGTAAAACGAATGATCTCAAACATTGATGTGTAGTATGAACTTTTTTACATTTATAGCCTAAACCCATACACCCTATTGAAGTCAGAATGTCTAGTTATCTTTGCCTTTGGTGGATAAAACCGTATTTGGTTTGGGGTGTACAAGGCCGCATTAAAATGGGGCTTCGTTGTGAGCTTTTGTAGGAATGCTTGGAAAAGCGACTTCACAAGCATTAGAACACCGGGTCTCGGGAGGACGCGGGTGCGTGCGCACTCCCTCAGAGGCATGATCTTTGGCTGCATATCCTACACGGATGAAGCCTGCGGCCAGTTTTAAAAGAAACACAAAAGATCCAAAAATATAAGATAAAACGGGCAGTATAGGTTAAAACGGAGTGGGCATGGAGGGTGGGGATGGGGATGGGGGGAGCGAAAGGAGTAGTCTCCCTTCCAGGTGTATTGAACAGTCACCTTCAGACGGGGGGTGGGGGTGGGGGAAAGCATGAAAGAAGTTGACGCCCATCCGATCCCATTCCGGGGCGGGGGGTTACATGTCAAGGCGTGTTGCTTAGGTTGTGGAGGTTGGGATCCAGCGGAGGCGTCTCAGATGCCGGGTTTTCTGTCCGGGTGGGCGTCACATCCCCTGAACTGACAGTTAATCTGCAAGAGGGGAGGTGAACAAGGACAACTTTAAACTGGGATTGCGCTCAATATGGAAAATCCAGAGGGCCCACTGCGGTAGAAAGCCAAGGCTTCCACTCTTACTGCGCCTACTGTATGATCTGATAAGTTAACAGGAATCCAATGAAAGCACTAAAAACAGGCCTTAGATATTCAGCGAGCTGATCCATGTCAGTGCAAAGAAAGTTCTCAATGAGTGTGCATAGTTGGCTTTTTAAACACCATCATTCAGCGATAGCTGTATTGTAAAAGAACAGATGAGAGGCGAAAATACAACTTTGCTTTAGAGAGGGCGAGGACGGAGGAGATGGGTGAAACGACGGGACGACAGAGTTATTGACCTGGACTGTTCGACTCACCATTCTCAAAGGTAATGTATAACAAACAAAAACAAAGCACTTTGTATCGTGCCCTCCAGTCAAGCAGTGAGGACGTAACGTGTGCAGCCGAGGCTCCAACCAAGTGTCGGGAATTTCAGTCAGATTTTGGGTAGGCAATTTTATTTATATTTTGTTTTATGATTATTACTACCTTATTTATTTTATTTTTTTGGCTGTACTCAAGCCTGCTTTCGTGGGTCCGAAGGTCACTGAGTTTTTCACAATTTTGTCAAAATAAAAAAGATTACTCGAAACCTGCCAGAAAAACCTATTAATTACATGAAGATGGCGGTCATCTGGTGGATTCTACACTGATTTGTTAGGAAATCCTGCTTGGGGAGGTAGTTTTCACTATCAGATTTGATTAATTCTGGACGTTGCAGTAGGTTAGGCGTATAACTTCAACCGAACGTGGGGCCTCGCATTTCAGAAGGCTAGAGCGTTGGCTGTACTCAAGTCTTCCCCCTGCTGTTGTGGGTTCCAATCCCACCGAGGTCGCAGAGTTTTTTACATTTGGTTGAAAAAGGAATAAATTAGGTTTAACTGTAATATTCGGCATACCACATTACTTAAATTGTGAGTTCTTTCAACTAGGGATCAAATGGTATGACATAAATAGTTTTTAGTCAGTGTTAGAAAAGCAACAATGTAGACATTAACAAGAATTATGTTGTCCGCCTACCGTACGCGACCATGGATTTCGTAATAGTTTTTCCACTACTTTCTAAAGAAGTATTTGTAATGAAATCTGTGTTTTTTTCTTTAGAATACCGTGGTAACAATACAACAACAGTTTCTTGGCGAGAGCTTTCGAATATTTTGCCATGAAAAAACCAATGAGACTCAGTCTTAATGGCCTCTCGCCTACGAACACCGCTGTCAAGTTGGAAACGACCAGGTCGACAGTTTACACCGTTAGCGACCGTTATAAAAAGTTCGGCCGCATCGACAGGAAGCTTGGTTGTGGACAAACAAAAAAGCTCGGACGCCTTGTGTTATAAGGGCTGTCTGGGATCGCATTCGCTGCAGTTTAGTCTGGAGCATGGGGAAGATGGCTTTAGGGTTTGCAATGTCGGAGCACATGGTTAGGAATGTCCAGAAGAAGAACCTGAAGGCCAAGTCAAAGACCAGCACCAGAAGCATCTAGTTACTAAGACTGTGAAGGAGAAGAGACTGGAAAGAAGTAAGAGTATCCTAGGTTCCAGCGCGGACGGACCATACACGGTACTCTACTTCGACGAGGAACTCTTCACGATCGCTTCGGTGTCCAACAGCCGAACAGACTGCTACATAAGCCCCCTGAAGGTCAACGAGGTACATGAGAATGTTAAGTACAAGTTTCAGACTGAACATTCCGCGTCTGTGATGATCTTTAGCTAGATGGCCTCAGACAGCAAAGTCATGCACCCTGCGTTCATTGAGCCCGGAGTCAAAGTGAACACAGATGCTCAGAAGCATGTCAGGCCTTGAATAGATTGTCACTACACTCCGAACGGCAACGTAGTCTTACGGCAGGATGGTGCGCCTCCACATACGTCAGGGAAGACACGTAAGTTGCTGGAAGGCGATATGCCTTATTTCTGGCCTAATGATATGTGGCTACCATCCTCAGCGGCCTTAAACACCCCCGACTACAGCATTTGGCTGTACAGTACGTGACCTATCTCTTACAATCTGATAACGGAAACGGGTGCCAGAATTTCTGGACGTCTTTAACGTTGCGCATTTTGTTCGCTCACCCACATCCTTCAATGAAATGTCCTTTTCTTGTGCGGAAATAGTGTTTACGTAAGTATGTCAAGTAAAAAATGAGTAGATTTCAGCGAAAATGGACGTTGTAATATCCTCGTGCAAGTTCTTATGCTAATACATGTCCAAGACTCCGGTTACGCATCTGAGCGACAGTAAGTTACCCGCGAGAGTTTTAATAAACAGATTTAGCCGAACTTGGAAATTTATTTTATGGCCGATGATAACCGTGGTAACCATCTTGCTAACACAAAAGTTGTTTTAGAAAAACCAGAGATTTTGTCAGTTTCTAAAAGTCAAATTAGCCGACCTGTACGATTTGGTGCCCTAAAGTGCAGTAATAACGCAGATAGGGATTCCTTCGTTTAAATGGACTGAAACTGTTTTGCCGTTTGGAAAATTCTACCTGACGTCACATTAATGACCACCAACAAATGGTCACTAATTATCGTGTATTTGAGCTTCTGTGCATGCCTTATTCAGAAATAGAATGAGCAAAAACTTAATAGTCTCAGCAAAATATCAGTATTTATATGGGCGCTCTGCCGTGCATTTATAATCGAAGAAGCGAGTCTAAAAGCGAGCAAAAACAGTGGAAATGGTCTCAATGTACAGAGGATGGCATGTTCTTACGTTTACGGTAGAAAAGTGCTAGTATTGGTTAGGAGCGTGTAAGAAACGGTCAAAAGTGCCGAATTTTTACTTGGCCTCACCGTGCAAAAATGCAAAGTACACAGAGATCCATCAAAGGAGTGCAGTAATAAAGCACTTCTTAAAGAGACAAGGAATTAGAGGTAACTTTTAAGGAAAGTTTCATTATTGATCAAGGGCATAGTTGTTGCTGACTTTCGTTGTGGACAATCATTTTTCTCGAAAATGAAGTTTGATATTTGAATGAGTCTTCACATGTGACCCAAACGACCATGTTTGTGAAAAGGAGCGCCCGAACACTCCCTAATTCGATAAATGCCTTCAAGAATTACCTTATTTTAAAGTTCTTAACAGACAGGTAATTCAGAATCTGACTAAAAATTATGAAGTATTAAGCAACATTTGGAGGCCGATCTGAAACTCTCCGTAATCCAAAACAAAGGAAAAGCGTAAATTAATTTAACGGAAGAAAAGTTCTCTTTATAAACACAAAATGGTATGTTTACGATCACGCCTGTCAGTTCTACTCAAATTTATTAGGCACGGACCGGCCTCACATCATGTCACTTTATGAAAACTTTTGTTCCTAAGAGGTCCCCATCGGAGAAATCAAGTAAAATTCAGCTTCGCTTGCTGAACCCAATCTCATTCACTTCAAACGAGTCAAGAATACCACGAATCCCTGGAAAACTGTTTTGGAGTCTACACTCAGAATGTAGGCAGTTGACAAACCGCCACGTATGAGACTACACCAATTCCTTAACGATATTTAGAGGTAAACTTCACTGAAACACTATTATTAGACGTTGTTTTATTTTTACTTTCATATTTACTACCTTTTTGGTGTGAGAACACATTCCATACATCAAAAAACGAAGTTTACTAAATTAGAATCATTTATGACGTTTTCGGGATGTTGCGCTTTTCTAAAAAATACTCGGCATTTCTAAACAATGCAACACTGCCTTAAGAGTGCCTTTATGTTTTTAATTCTTTTAAATTTGCACTTAACTAGCACAGACATTGGACTCATGAAATGATGTTGTTTTGCGAGTGATTGGCAATCATTCGTAAATTTTGACGCACTGTATGTCGAGGAGAAGGCTTGCAACAAGCTACATAACACCATTGAGGTCCTGAAGGTCTACACTGTCAGACAGTGGAACAGGATGTCACCGGAGTACATCGGGAACCCTTGCGCTAATTTCGGACCGATAATCGACGAAGTTATTGCTGACAATGGCTCTCACATTGAATAATTCCTTTCTAATATGAATTATCAGTCTTTTATGTAAAATACATTTGTTTCTCCAGCTACGTGTCCTTGATCTGGATCAGGCTTTAGTTCGGATTAGTCAAGTTACGAAATTTACGGTCGCATACGATACGGGTGCTTCAGCCTTGTCTGGATAGTCCCGTCTTTTTCATACAGCCGACTGAAATACGTCAGGCGGTCTTTCTCGAGATTCGGGATGTGCGCCTGGCTCTGGACAAAATGAAGCCAGAGGCGGCGGGTACCCAAAAAGGTCTCCTTACTTACAAGTGGTGCTCTGCGTCGGAGATGGTAGACTCATCCTCCAGTCTGATGGAGCCAGAGAGGTTGGAACAGGTCGGCGGGCAGGACGGTACACAGGCGGTCGCTGTCTTGCGCGTCCTCGCCAGGTCTGAGAAGTCATCTTGGCAGAGGTGTTGGAAATCAAGACTGCCGTCAGCACCAATAGTGGCCATGGGAACGTCCGCTGGAAGGCGGTGCGAGCGACTCCTGTTCAGCATGTTCTCCTTCCGCCGAGCAACAAATGCTGAATTCTTCATTTTGCCACCAGACCTGTGAAAGGCGGATGTAGAACGGTTCAGGCTACAGCAGAGGGGCGGGCGAGGAGGAGGAGGAGGAGGAGGAGGAGGAGAAGGAGGAGGAGGCAGTATACAGCAGATGTGCCATCTCAAGAAATGTTAGCCGAAATTCCGAAAAGTGTTTTTAAATCGAACGGATAACTTAGACAGGGTTGTAAAACTTGTGATTGGGCAGTACAGTAGATGTGCTAACTCATGAAATGTCAACCAAAATTTCGAACTGCGTTCTCGTTTCGAAAAGACCAATTAAGTAGTGTTGTAAAACTAATCAGGCTGCAACATAAATCTTTAATGATCCAGTTACCTCAGGGTGTTGGCTTTCGAAAGAATTTATTTTCGGCTGCATACAAGATCAAATACTCTACCAAAAATGACTATTTAAGTAGTATGCAATTTTCTCATTGATTTTCGATGTCCATGACAATTCAATTATATTTCATGGAAAACATGTATAAAAATATTCATTTTTTACTTATTCGGTAGAAAATCACGTCTTCTCTCAATTTCATACTCAAAAGAAGAGTATAATTCGGTTTTAAGAAAGTTTCTAATTGTGAGATTTTTTAATACCCTTAAATGGCCGTTCATGAAACGTCATGTATCTGCTTTTACGAATGTGGCTTGTAAAGTTAACAATATTGCTCAAAACCATTGCTTAATTTTATGAACCTCATATGGTCTCCTCTTAACTACGTAGAGAAATGTATGGTTTTCCGTACACGGAAAATATGCAGCTTGAAGTTTTGAAACCCTGAATGCAAGTGTAACAACAGGTCGGGTTCAAAATTATTCGGGAATTAGAAAAGTTTTTTAAGGCCGAATTATACTCTTCTTTTGAGTATGAAATTGGAAGAAGACGTGATTTTCTGCCGAATAAGTAAAAAAATGAATATTTTTATGCATGTTTTCCATGAAATATAACTGAATTTTCAAGGGTATCGAAAATCAATGAGAAAATTGCATACTAGTTAAGTAGTCATTTGTTGCAGAGTATAGATCTTGCATGCGGCCGAAAATAAATTCTTTCGAAAGCCGACACCCTAAGGTAACTGGATCACTATAGATTTATGCTGAATCATGATTAGTTTTACAACACTAGTTACTTGATCTTTTCGAGACGAGAACACATTTCGAAATTTTGGTTGACATTTCATGAGTTAGCACATCTACTGTATAACCCCCCAAGATATTTCAGTCACGTGAAGATGCTAACCTATGAATGCACTTCCTTCCGGCTGTCTGCAAAACCGCATTCTGTACGGAATGATAACTTTAGCAGTGCAGTTTTTTCATTGATTTTCGACTCCTTTATAAATTCAAATGCATTTTATGGAAAACACGAACTAAATATTGCTTTTTAACATTAATCAGCAAATTCAGTTTTGGTTAAATTTTACATTCGAAAAGAGAGAGTAATCTGGTTTTCAAAGGTCTTTTTCAATTTCCGAATAATTTCAAATCCAACCTGCTGTCGCACTTGCATTCATGGTTTCCAGACTACAATCTGTATATTTTCATGTAAGGAAAATCATAAATTTCCATGCGCTAACAGGAAGATGTCATATGCAGTTCACAAAATTTTGCAGTGGATTTGAACCATACTGTAAGGGAGCAAAACTTGCGAATATACATGCTATGTTATATAAATGGACATTTTGTGGCCTAAAAAGTCTCATGATCAGAGACGTTTTAAAATATAACGTAATGTTTTGCCGAATGAATGCACCAAAAGATATTTTGTGCATGTTTCCTATGGAATATATTTTTATTTATAAGTGTTGAAGATCGACGGGGGAAATTCATACTACTTTGGTGGTCATTTTTACAGGGAGTAAATTTTGCAGACGGCCAGAAGAAAACTCGTTTAAAGGACGTGACTGAAATGTCCTAGGATTATGCCGCGCAATCATTAGTATTATAATCCTACGTAGACAATCCTTTTCGAGTGGAAAACCAATTTCAGAATTTCGGTCAACATTTCATGAGATAGCGCCCCCATTCTATACTACAGCAAGCCTTTCTTACAGATGGTGTTTCGCGTCGGGGATGGTGGACTCGTCCTCCAGTTTGATGGAACCGGAAATATTGGAACAACTGGATGGACATGGCGGCAGACAGGGGGTTGTCTCATGACTCTTTGCCAAGTCTGAAAAATCCTCGTGGCGAGGGTGTGGAAATTCAACGTTGCCGACGCCGCCGTCGCTAGCGAGAGGAACGTCCGCAGGGAGGCAGCCCATGCGACTCCTGTTCAGTATATTCTCTTTTCGGCGAGACGCAAATGGCGAATTCTTAATCTTGCTACCTGACCTGTTGAGGACACGTTTGAATTCCTGGAAGGCAGCAAGATGCAAAGAATCAACTTCAGGTGATCGGAGAGCTATGGGAGGGGGGAGAAGGTAGGGGTTCACATAAAATCGAATTTAGGGCGGCGACTTACACCTTTAGATGTCGGAGAGTAGTAGCTGAAACAAGATACAACAATAATAAGTACCTATTTGAGGGGTATTTGATTCAGGCGTCTGGGTAAGAACTGTGAAACTTACAGAGTTCCCTTGGCTTTTCGCAGCTGGCACTCCTTCTCGTCAAAAATCCATACAGAGCCTCCTGTGGTCTCAACACGCCGGAAGCATTTGTGGAGGGAGAGGTTGTGCCTGATCGCGTTCTATACCAAAAGAGCAAAAAACAGAAGGTGATATGAGTGGCAGAGCAAAAGGCTCCCGGGTATTTTCAAGCAGCTCATAAAGCGGGGCTAACTCATGAAATACCAACCGAAATTCCGAAATGCATTTTTGCTCCGAAAAGATTAATTAAGTAGGCTTGTAAAATTAGTCAGCCTGTAACGTAATTCTATAATATTTCAACTACCTCAGGATGCCGGCTTTCGAATGAACTTCCTTCCGGCTACATGCAAAAAATACACTCTGTAAGATATGACTACTTAAGTAACATGAATTTTCTCTTTGATTTTCGATGCCCCTAAAAGTCTAATTATACTTCATGGAAACATGCACAAAATGTATTCACTACTTTGCTTATTTGGGAGAAAACAACAAGTTCTTCCTAATTTTTTACTCGAAGGAGGGATATATTTTGGTTTTTAAAAATGCTTCTAATTCCCGAATAATTTTGAACCGACTATACCGTTACGCCTAGATTCCAGGTATCCAAATTACAAGCCCTATATTTTCCGCATAAGGAAAACCACACATTTCTGTACGGTAACAAAGGAGGACCATATATTGTTCATAAAATTCAGCCGTGGATTTGATCCATATTTTTAACTTTACAAGCCATATTTGTAAATGCGGAGACATGACGATTTATGAACGGCCATTTTATAGTAGTTTAAAATCTCACAATTAGAACCTTTTTGAAACTGAGTTATACCCTTTCTGCGAGTTTAAAATTGAAAGGAAACGTCATTATCTACCGAACGAGTAAATGAATGAATATTTTTATGGTGTCTTCCATGAAATATAATTGAACTTTTAGAGGCATCGGAGCCAGGTGTCAGAGAGTTGTCAGCGCACACCGGGCTGTGAGAGCCATGGTTTGCTGATCCTGACATGCTAGACACTCACAATCCTTGAGGTCCCATCATTCAACTAGACATGAGTAAATTCGTCTACTTAAATGAGACCTTTTTACCTAGGAAGGAAAGCTCTGGTCGTCCGAGGGTTGGAAGCGGGAATGAGTTCTCCCCCCGTTCTACAGGTGGCTTTGCGCTAGACTGCAGACGGGATACCTATTCCTGTATTCCAACCCACGCCCTATCCCTCTTAACCCTAAACCCTCCACCGGAATTTAGCGTTTGGCCACCTGTACTACTTATAATCGTGCCATACTCTCCCGAGAACTGCTTAGATACATTCTAAACCACAGCCTGTCTCACGGAACAAGGACAGCCGGTCGAATAGACAACTGCGCCAACGTTTAAATACCTTTCTCCAGCACGGTAGCTACCATTCCTTCCGCATAAATTGACAACCAACCCCCATCAATAGGACTTCCGATTCGTAGGGCAAAAAACTCGCCAACATCGGGAGTACCAAGAAGGGCAAAATGTGACGACACGGGGAGAGAACTTCCTCCTCGTTTCCTTCCGAGGGCGAAAAAACTGAGGAGCACCCTGGGAAATTTCTGTGAACGAAAAGGCGAAGACGGGGTCTTTCAGATGGCAGTCTTAGTCATCACGGAGTCATCAACCACTAGGGTAAAGGACTTCTTCTGGTGAAAGAAAAGCGCAAAACACGACCTCAGACTTCTGTCGTCAAAGCTGTAAGAAGTGGACGTGAATACACTCACGCTGACATCGTTGTCAAATACTGAGCTACACATCAGGAGACACGATCGCGTAAATGTCATGGTGAAAAGGACTGCATCGCACCAAATGCTGGACCGATCATCGTCTACCTGTGGCACAGATGAGACCGCAACAACGACGGTCTCGACGGACAAAGGCGACAAGAAAACTGTATAGAACCGAACCGAGGCGAGGACTGGCCTGTGGGATGTACAAAGGCTGGAGCATGTACCCTTAAAAGGACATGACAATACTGCTGAAACGTACTACTATACGCGTCTAATACTACCACCGTCGGCAATATCAAGACTGACTGGGCCAGAACGATGAATAAATACAGCGTCTGCTCTGCGGGGAGAACCGCCTCCGTCAGAAAAACATGATGCCGCAAACAAAACTGCCTCCTCCTAGTGCGGACGACATCTTCAACGGAGGGTCATAAGACTGAGGAAACATACTCGCGGAGCTCTGGACAGAGCCCCAGGGTCCAACGGAAAGAGTGTGTCCGTAGTGTGATCGGTGAGCGACCCTCTATCATAGTTACAGTGGGTGGGCTAACTCATGAAATGTCAACCGAAATTTCGAAATGCGTTCGCGTTTCGAAAAAATTGATTAAATAGCGTTGTAGAACTGCTCATCGTGCAGCGTAATTCTATAATTATTCAGTTACCACAGAATGCTGGCTTTTAAACGAACTTCCTTCCGGCTACATGCAGAAACTATACTCTGTAAAAATGACTGCTTAAGTAGCATGTATTTTTCTTATTCATTTACGATGCCTCTAAAAGTCCAATTATATTTCATGAAAAACATGCATAAAAATATTCATTCTTTTACTTATTCCTTGGAGAATCACGTCTTCTTCCGATTTTATACTCGAAAGAAGAGTATAATTCGGTTTTCAAAAACTTCTCTAATTCCCAAATAATTTTGAACCCGACCTGCTGATATACTTGCATTTAGGGTTTCAAAACTACAAGCCGTATATTTTCCGTTTACGGAAAACCATTCATTTCTCTACGGTATTAAGAGGAGACCATATGGAGTTCATAAAATCAAGCAGCGGATTTGGGCAATATTGTTAACTTTACAAGCCACATTCGTAAATGCAGAGACATGACGTTTGATGAACAGTCATTTCACGTTGTTAAAAAATCTCACAATTATAAACCTTTTAAAAACCGAAGTATACCGTTCCTTCGACTAGAAAATCGGAAGAAAACGTAATTTTCTACCGAATACTTAAACGAATGAATATTTTTTGCATGTTTTCCATGAAATATAATTGCATTTTCGAGGGCATCGAAAACAAATGAGACAAATTTATGCTAATTAAGTAGTCATTTTTTACAGAGTGTAGCTTCTGCATGCAGCCGGAAGAAAGTTCATTCGACAGCCGACACTCTGATTTATTATAGAATTATGCTGAAGGCTGATTAGTTTTACAACCATACTAAATTAATCTTTGCGAAACGAGAACGCATTTCGAAATTTCGGTTGACATTTCATAAGTTAACGCACCTATTGTAACTAACCGACCGCAACCGACAGGACAACCAACCCGTGGCTCAGTGGCTGGAGTGCTGAACTTTAAACCAACAGAACATGCATAGAGGCCGCGTATCGCTGGCTGACGACAACCAGTAGACCAGAAATGGTCATTCCGGTTTTCCTTGTCTTTGCCGGCAATGTTATGCTTCAGGTAACTACGCCTCTACGTGGCCAACCCAACGCCCTAAAACTATAAAAAAAAATCACTAACAAACAAGAAGGGTGTGCAGCTGAAAGAACACGGTAAACTCTGCTTCTCCAGTCACATTTATCCTTCAGAAGTGCATTCGGGGGAAAAAGTGTTGCATAGCAGAAGTTATTCGTACACACTCGGCAAAATAATAAACAAAAGACCGTGTCCTTACCTTCCACGTGGCCTCGTTTTGCTTGAAGTAAAGGAATTCCTTCTGTAGCCAGGCGTAAATTTCACTGAGAGAAAGACTTTTATTGGGCGACTCGCAGATAGCTTGGCGGATGAGGGAGGCGTAAGTGAAGCGCGGACGCACAGAATGCGTCCGATAGAATTGGCGCTGATTTGTCGAACACTCTTCGGTGACGCTGAGCAGGGAGGAGGAGAGGCTGGCTTCACGCGCGCCAGTGTTCCAGGCCTCCTCTTTGGCAGACGGTGACAGAGGCACATGGCTGTCACACATGGGACCTCAAAAAGAAGGAGGGAGTTATACGGATGATAAGACGAGGATCTAGGCATGCGCACTATGGCGAACAGATCGAGGCGTTTTTCACCAGGCAGGGCTCTACAATCCTGACATGTACCACTTTGATTACTGTCCGATTCCGTGACCCCTAGAACGGGCCACGCGGTATATGTGCCGGACCAATACGAGGGCCAGGTCAGTGCACGGTCAGCGTTATTGGGGATGTGCACCCGTGACAAGTGGTGGCACGATGTGGTGGTACGCCTAGGCGCATGCTCACACCACGCCAGTCACCTGCGTTAGATCCCGCCTCGGGTCTTCTTAACTGCGTCTTGGCAATGGACTCAGTTGGGTGAGGGGGGGGGGTGAATGTGAGGTAGACGAATCGCAAGTCGCTGTCTCTGATTTCACTCTGCTGTGGAACGCAGGATGGACATTGCCGATCACAACAGACGCACTGGCGTAACTGAAATACCTGAAGATTATGTTGCCCGATAATCAGTATTACAAATGCGCCTAAATAATCCTCTCTAATTGGAAGTACATTGCATAAAAGAGCATACTATCTCAACTCCGTCTGCTGCCTTCCCAGTGACCTGTAATTTAAAACCGACGCAACAGTGTTCTACATATAAATGTACTGCATCGAGAAACCTCACAGTGCATACTGGTCCGTTCAAACCAATTTGCATTCAGCAGACTGTTTGGTGTGCCCCTCTGCGGTGCTTATCACGTTTACAGTTGGATGGCACAGACGAACCCCGCCTCATTCGGTCTTATTTAACCAAAGACGTCGGCGCACTAATGGAAGATTGTTCTGATGTTGACACTCGTCACATGAACGGTCACAATTTACAGGCGGCTTCTCGGATACGTCCAAACACAACATTCTTGTGTCTTCAGCCGGATCAGCATGTAGTTAAGTACGTGGCAAGCACACCGCACATGAAAGCCGGTAGCTCGTTCTACTCACTTTGGTACTTCTTGGCCAGTAAAAAAGGCAGACTCATTACTGCTTTAAGAATTTTGCCTAACTTTTACGGGATACCAGAAGCTATTCCAAATAGGGGCGATTACACAAAGCACAGACTAGTTTGGTATAGATCCTGCACCAGAAAACTCTAAATTCACCTGTATAAGTACTTCTACATATTTAATAAGAAAATGTGACGTCGTTGGCATAACTCTTTGGCCTTACTTATGACACGTTGATTAGTACGCGTCATAATTACAGGATACTCCATACTCGTCAGGATGTTGACTCGTGAATGAGCAGCTTACCTACCACTTACTGAAAGCACATCGCTCTGAGTTTTTCAAATGATTTTCGATGCCTTTTTGAAGCCAAACCTATGGTATAGAAAGTACGAGAGGAAGCATTCTTTCCTACACCCTTTTCGCAACAAATTATGTCATCTTTAAGTTTTCTCAGTTTCAGTAAAGTTATTATTTGAGAGAAATTTCGAGGCCATGGTACACACTCATAAAAGTGTCCCCGTATCTGCGGGCCCATTCGGGTGCCTTGTATTATGCTTCACATTGAATGCAAAACCTTATGAGGGCTCACTAACAATTTCCCAATAACATGCAGTGAGTGACTGATCTCATGAAATGTTGGCCGAAATTCTGTGATGCGTTTTCAGTTAGGAAGGGTTATTTAGATGGGGTTGTAATGCTGATTAGCAGGATGTTGGCTTTTGGATGCACTTATTTTCGACCTAACGTAGAAACCAGACTAGGTAAAAACTGAGTACGTAATTAACGTGCGTATTCACGTGCATTTTCGATGATTTTATAAATTCAAATATATTTTATAGAAAACATGAACAAAATATACTTTTTTTACCAGTTTGGTAGTAAATCACATTGCCTTCATATTTTATATCCTAAGGAAGGTTGTTTTTCGGTTTCTAAAGGTTTCTAATTGTGACATATTTTAAAACCATCCGATTTCCATACGAACAGCATCGCACATGTCGGTTTAGCAATGCTCCTCATGAAATTTAAAACACAGTTCGCATCCACTGCAAAATTTTATGAATTCTAAATGGTAACTTCTTAAAGGCACAGAAGAATGTGTGATTTCCCTTACGCGGAAAGCATGCGCCTTGTAGACTGAAATCGCTAAATGCTAATGCAACGGCTGATCAGGCTCAAAATTATTCGGGAATTGGGAAACGTTTTTAAAACCCAAATATGCACTTTCTTTGGGCATAAAGTGTAAAGACAACGTGATTCTCTACCGAACGAATGAAAGAAAAATTAGTTTGTGGTATATTCTTAAAGGCATGGAGGAACATACGATTTTCCTCACGCGTAAAGGATGAACCTTGCGGATTGAATCGCTAAACGCTAATGAAACCGCTGAGTAGGCTTAAAATTGTTCGGGAATTGGGAAACTTTTTTAAAACCTAAATATACAATTTTTTCGAGCATAAAATACAAAGACAATGTGATTTTCTACCGAACGAGTAAAGAAAAGCCTACTCTAGGGCATTGAAAATCAATGGGAAAAATGCATGTTACTTAAGTAGCCATTCCTTACCGAGTGCCGTTTCTACAGGTCGAAAAGAAGTGCATTTAAGAACCGACATCCCGGCGAGACCGAAATACCATAGAATTATGCCACATGATAATCGATATTACAACCCCACCTAAGTAATTCTTCCTAGCCTAAAACGCATTTCAGAATTTCAGCCATTTCATGAGATCTGTCACGCATTGTAGACAGAGGAAATGATCTCGCACAAGCTAAAAGCGTGCGGCATGCAGTTTGGGAACCTCAAAGTAAAGTGCAAATTGTCAAATTTTTGAGACGCAACAGAAACTTTCTTTTGCTGCAAAATTTTAAACAGAAATAACTGGCCATAAAAAGTGAGCGACAAAAAATGGCTCGGTGTGTACGTTCTACAGCACGGAATTGGGTTTAAAACGGCATCGAAAGCCAATCAGAAATGTTCAAACTGTCAGAATAGTCATTTTTGGTATGTATGCTTTCCATAAGTGGCCGGAAATCCGTTCATTCATAAGTCAGCATCCTGGCATGTGTGAAAACCCTCGGGATTATCCCGCAGGCTAATGAGGATTGCTCACAGATATTGCATGAATTCGGATGATTCAGCGATGAGATCGTAGTTGCCACAAAATGCCAATTATATTAGCATGGAAATCAGTCAGACGAGAGGTTGCTTTGTTAAGAGGACTTTTGGTTAGGTTTTTTTAAAAAAGTGCGCTCTAACTATCCTAAGCTAGTGCTTGTACAAGGTGGATTAATGGCCTGGTCCATGGTGGATGTTCAAAAAGAGTTTTAGTTAATGTCAGCCTGGCCCGGTTTAAAAACACATAGTTTACACCAAGTTGCAAGACAACAATGCAATGCAAATGCCCTAGAAATACCGTACTGGTTGACACGGGAACATTGTCAGGAGAGGTTGCATTCGTGGAAATAGTTTCAGGAGGCAGATGATTCTCAGTGGAAAGTGTCCTGGGCATCATGGGAAAACCACGCGCTGGTTCCCGTTCAAGGGACGCTCCATTGGCAAGACCCATGCCTACGCTGTTGAGAAGCATGGAATACAGAAGAGCCTGTTCTGGATTCATGCCGAAACGCAGCGTTGCCAGGACTCGCGAGAGACCCTCAGGCCCAGTGAACAAGGGATCTTCCATTTCACGGCCTGGATTTAGAAAGAAATGATCAAGATACACATTAGATAGCTACTTGCGTTCATCAATCGGATGGAAATCTGCCAGCAACGATTTACTTGATCAAGCGCATCAACCTGCAATAGTTCGTCCCTAGAAGTCGTAGGGGGGGGGAAGAATGGTGAAGAATGTAAAGTCGAATACGACGGAAAATGTTCAAAGCGGTGACATTGCTTGCCCTTACAGATTCCACCATGCTCTGATGGCAGGACTGGATCAAGGTAGCTGGAGACGACAGCAAAACCTGTGACAGAGCGGGCACTTCGTCATTGTGCAATCGAGGCGCCGAGCGCGCACATGGACACTCCTATCCGCAAGCTGGCTCAGCATTCATATTAAGCGACGGGAGTTCAATCAAAAACTCGCAGGGTCCTGTAGGGGTGTTCAACAGGGAGGGGGAGGTGGCGCAAAGCCAAATTCCTATCCTTCTACCGTCGTGTTCAAAGGGCCCAGCCACGGAAGGGGATGAGTGTGAGAGGCTGGGGTCGCACGGCACGAATGCGACTTCGGTTTGAAGTTTGACGTCCTGTGCCGATCGTGAAAGGGGTAGATACAAGCATTACAACAAACGGCGCACCGCGGTCGCGGTCGACGAGGATCACCACCAACTCCTGGAGCTTTGGGCTTGAACTGGCTTATGGTCGACACCGCAGGGCCTCCTTCACTCCTATCCGTCCTCAAACCCGTAGTTTTCCATTGTCAGGAGTAAGCATAGATTGGAGATAAGCTAGGGCACTGTTAATGACCCAGCATTCGGCCGCGTTCCTAAATATCGCGCAACCACTGGTACCTCAACTGGAATGAATTATAATTTAAACATCCGGGTGGCATATTCAGAACACATTCGGAAGGCTGCATCGCAGTATGGTTCTTTGTCTGGCCGGACCAGTTACAACATCCAGTGACAATCATCCAAATCATGACATTTAAGGTCTTCTGATCGTTCCCATGCGTAGCTGTGGCGTCATGTAGGGGAGATGTTGCGCATGGTCGATGTTAATCGCCTTTTCAGACCCGGAGGTAGGGCTGAGCCAGATTACATGGATAAGAGGTGGGGCACAGAGTCTGGCCACGCAGGTCGCTCCTGCCACTTTTAGTTCACACACACATGACAGCTCGACCGTCGTTGCCGACGATGTCCACCGTGTGCTCCACAGCAAAGTGAAGTAGGGAAGGTGACTTGCGCGTGATTTAGTTTATAGTGAATGTAGACTTGCGCAGTATCTATCGCACTCTCTCCTCCCCGTGGCACCCCGAGTCAAGACGACGGGAGACGGCGGAGGGCACAGGTAGATGGCACAGTCGAGCCCACACCCCGGCGCTCCACTTCACACTCCCTGGCTCACACAGTAAATGACCAGGTTTTTAACCAACAAGAAGGGGGGGGGCGGCAGGGGTCCTAGTGTGCGCGACGTCTGCCGGCAACCAGGTCTGCCACCGCACTCTGAAATGTAGGCATTTGTTATGGTGTGCAATCCGGTGACACCTTCCACAATCCGATATGGCCCCCATGTTGGTCCAGCGCATCTACCACATGGCCCGTTTGAGGGGCACACACACGCGCGCGTTTGGTCCCAGTTTCGGTCTGACATGGAAGTGCGGCCCGTTTGGAAATCCATGAACACACAAACTTGTGGGCAGAATAACATTACGGACAACAGGCAAGGGAGACTGAGGTGAGCATTCCTGGCTTATTGGTCGTCTTCAGGCAGCCGTACCCGATCCCGAGGTGTGCAACCCCTGGGGCTCGATCCCGCGACCTGATGGTTAGAACTCGAACACCGTAATCACTGAACCGCGGGCTCGCTGTCCTGTCGGTTGCGATCGGGCAGGTACAACCATAGAGGGGGAGAGGGCGCTCACCAATCGCGTTACAGATCTCCCTCGTCCCATTGCGCCTTGGAGCTCCCTATCTCGAACTCCGGCAGCAGCCGAACGGCAGCACATGATAGATGCAGAAAAGCATTACGGACAAAGACAGGGGAGACTCCAATGGCCACTTCCGGCGTAACGGGACCAGTGAGTTCCGTAACGCGCTCGGTGAACGCCGTCCCTTCTACCGTAACACAAGCATTTTCCAGTAGATTACCGTTTTGTGTCTGAGTGTCGACGGGCGGAACTGCAGTAGGAGGGAGCTCCCGATTTCTTTGCGGGAAGAGCTGATCGGTGGATGAGTTTGAGGGAGGTTCTGCACGGGGTGTGCTGGGTGACGATGCAGCCGGAGAGATCGATGACTCAGTTGGTTGCAATATTCGCGAACGACGGAATAGGTGATCCAGCATATAGCGAACACGTTGGGTCTCCTGTTTCGTCTGCAGGCAAAAAGCACAAATAAAGATACCGTTATTTCATGGACTTGAAGGTTATACTGCTGACCTCTAAGTGTCTTTGCATTTGAAAACCTGTCAACAATTTTTTGGTAGAAACTAAACAATTCTGCAACTATGTTTGACCTCCGTTTTGTAAGGACGTTTAGATCTATACTAATTACTTCAATGGATTCACCGCGAAATTTTACATGTGTGAAACCGGATGTACAGTAGGTGGGCTAACTCATGAAATGTCAACAGAAATTCCGAAATGTGTTTTCAGTTCGAAAAGATTAATTAAGTAGGGTTGTAAAACCAATCATCCTGCAGCATCATTTTATAATAATTCAGTTACCTCAGGATGCCGGCTTTTAAACACACTTCTTTTTGGTTGCATGCAGGGACAACACTGTAAAAATAACTACTTAAGTAGCATGCATTTTTCTCCTTGATGTTCAATGCCCGTAGAAAGTCAATTTTATTTCATGAAAACATGCACACAAATATTCGTTATTTTTCTCATTCTGTAGAAAATTACGGCTTCTAACTTTAGACTCGAAAAAGGGTTCAGTTCGGTTTTAAAAAAACTTTTCCAATTCCCGAATAATTTTGAACTCGACCTGCCGTTAAACTTGCATACAAGCCGTATAATTTCCGCGTGCCGAAAACCGTAAATTTCTTTAAGGTATTCACAGGTAATCATATGGGGTTCATAGAATTTAGCAGCGGATTTGAGCCATATTATTAACTTTGAAAGCAACACCAGTAAATGTAGAGACATGACGTTTTATGAACGGCTATTTCACGGTATTAAAAAATTGCACAATTAGGAACTTTTTCGAAACCAAATTATACACTCTCTTCGAGTACAAAATTGAAAGAAGACGTCATTTTCTACCGAATGAGAAAAAGAATAACTACTTTTATGCATGTTTTCTATGAAGTATAATTGATTTTTTAAGGGCAGTGAAAATCAATAAGAAAAATGCATGCTGCATATGTAGTTATTTTTTACAAAGTATAGGTCCTGCATGCAACCGAAAGGAAGTTCGTTCGAAGCCGGCACATTGAGGCAACTGAATTATTATAGAATTATGCTGCATGGTGATTAGTTTTACAACTCTACTTAATTAATCTTTTCGAAACGAAAACGCATTTCGGAATTTCTGCTGACATTTCATGAGTCAGTCCACCTAGTGTAAGTAATGGAGGCTTTATAAAAGCATAATTACTTCAGAATGCTCCCAAGGAGGTCCCTAATTGAAATAAAAATAGGGATTACGTCTAAAATGCTAAAAGGTGGAGCATCAGTGTTCTCCGTGTGCTCGAAACATAAGGTTGCAGTTCCTTTGTTCCTAAAGTGGGCCGAACAAAGGGGCTAGATGCGAGTCCAGCAGACTAACACCCTCAATGGTTTGATAGTACACGCCAAGTTGCCGCTCATTTCTGCGCCAAACGGTATCTGTGCCGCCCCCTTATTTGCGTTGTGGTATAAAGTTCTAGTCAGGAATGCGGTGGCACGCCTGGGCGTGCGCTCATACCGCGTCGACTACCTGTATCCTCTCTCGCCCCCGGTCTTCTTGACGCCGCGTTCAGGTTGGGGAGGAGCAGAGAGTGTGGTCGATGCTGCGAAAGTCTTATAGCACTGCAAACTAATCCAGGAGAACAGTCGCTGTCCCTGCTCCCTCTCTCCATCTCTCTCCCTCTCCCGCTCTCCCCCCTCTCTCTCCCCCTCCCCCTCTCTCTCCCTCTCCCCCCTCTCTCTCATTCTCTCCGTTGTAGCGCACACGGTGGGCATCGTCGAAATCAACGGTCGAACTGTCGAGGTGACTACGTTTCTCCACCTAGTTGCCCTAAATTCGAATTCTTCTATGTGGACCCTGCATATCTCGTCCCAAAAAGGAAACCTCACTTTTGCTTAAGTATACAGAACGGTTCTAATATCTCGATATTGGACGACTCACTATACTGACGTCACGGGCACTGGTCAAGACTTCGGTGGGACAGTCGCAGGCAGTTCAGTTCATCGCAGAGTTCCTATGTGCTTTTAAGCATACAGTTGAGTTTTTTGAATGCTGGGCCTTTCAATTTCTTAGAAGTTAATGCACGAACTTGGAGTGAATTCTTCGGAGATAAACCACTTCAGGCTGGGCCAGAGATTTGATGGGAATATTTGACCGGAAATTCATCATCTCCAACGAAATGATTGCGAAATATGCCTGAGCTGTCAACAAATAGTCAGGAGTATACAAATGATTGATGTCCATATATTCGAAAACCCGTGCGCAAAGAGAAGCAGTCGCGGCACATTGTTGAAACATGAGTCTGAACACTGGGATGGTGCCTGCGTTCTGAGATGTAAGCCAAGGTACTTTTGTCGAGCTAGAGAACATGATGAGTCTGGTAGTTCCTGTTCGAAGACCCAGTGTTAAGATCGTTGGGTAGTATCTGGTAGAATTATGCCAAACTCTCGGTCAGGCCAGCTACCAAAAGTGTTTCCCTAGATGCCACATTTGGAAGTTTCCATTCATGATTCCCAGGCGGCGACATCTATTTTAACTAAAATTTTAGTAAATGGGAAGTCTGGCCAATCAAATCGGCCCTCCTGCACCCCACGAATCGCCGCATTGACCTCTTGGGGGGCATTGATTGTGCGGCTGGTTTTTGTAGGAACCGATATACGGGAAACTGAATGCAACAGAGTTCCAACGACTCTGTCATCACCAGCACTCCATCGGTCCGGGGTCGTCGGGACAAAATTTTATCTTTGACTTTATGGCAGTCCGGAAGCGGGATAGCACACGATATTATCGAGGGGTGTGGATCCAGTCCTGAATGAACCAACAGATGATTTGAACCCTTGGTGCCCCGCCAAGCATAACGAAGTCAGTCTGAAGGGCGCAAACCGGCTCGGACGCTACAGTGAGTGACCGATCTCATGAAATGTTGGCCAAAATTCTGAAATGCGTTTGTGAGTAGGAAGGATTAATAAAGTAGCGTTGTAAGATTGCTTATTCTGTGGCATAATCTTATAGTATTTCAGACTCCCCAGGATGTCGGCCTTTGAATGCACTTCCTCCTGACTTCCTGCAGGAACCGTAATCGGTAAAAAAATGACTACTTAAGTAGCATGCATTTTCACCATTGATTTTCGGTGGCCTTGTAAATTTAACTATATTTTATAGAAAATATGCACAAGAATATGCTTTTTTTACTTGTTTGTTAGAAAACCCCATTGACTTTATATTTTATGCCCTAAGAAAGGTTATCTTTCGGTTTTAAAAAACTTTCTAATTATGAAATTTTTAAGACCGCTCGATGCCCATCGCACACGTCTGTTTACCAATGCTCCTCATGAAATGTACAACAAAGTCGGCATCCATTGTGAAATTTTATGAACTCTATTTGGTGTCTCCTGAAAGTTATAGAGGAATATATGATTCTCCTTAAGCGTAACGCATGCACCTTGTAGACTGAAATCGCTACACGATAGTGCAGCGGCTGATCAGGCTCAAATTATTCGGGAATTAGGAGACTTTTTCAAAATCCAAACATACGCTTTTGGGTATAAAATGTGAAGACAATGTGGTTTTCTACCAAACAAGTAAAATAAAGCATATTCTTGTGCATATTTTCTATAAAATATGGTTAAATTTACAAGGCCACCGAAAATCTATGTGGAAAATGCATGCTACTTAAGTAGTCATTTTTTTACCGGTTACGGTTCCTGCAGGAGGTCAGGGAGAAGTGCATTCAAAAGCCGACATCCTGCCGAGTCCGAAGTACTATAAGATTATGTCACACAATAATTAATCTTGCAACTCTACCTTATTAATCCTTCCCAGTCGCAAACGCATTTCAGAATGTTGGCCAACGTTTCATGAGATCGGTCACGCACAGTAGTTCCCGCCAACAAGGTCAATTAAGTCAGCTGCAGGGATGTCCGGAAGTTCAGACGGACGAAATGCTTTTTTTTCGGCGCTTGACGCTTTCTTCTCATAATCACCCATCTGAACTGAGGTAATAAATTGCTCAAAGTATCGTTAATACTATATTGCTACTTCCGCAGCAGCAGTAATATCGAACTAGAGGTCACATTAGAGGAGACTTTCAGCCAGCCTCACTATGTTGTCAGAATCAAGGTGTACAGAAAACTGGCAGGATCATGAGAGTACTGCATTCCCCTACTAACATAGCACTAGCCTTCGTTTAGCTCTAACAGATCAGATTTGCGGGTTTGTGTGTGTCTAGTGGCATGACTGGCTGAATGAGCAAGGCCTGCGTGAATAACTCGAGTGTTAAATTGCAAATGGCGCCAATAATGCGAGGGGACTGCAGGACGGATTGTGCCTACCGGAATTACCGACAGAAATCAGTCAATCACGCAGACTAGCACTGGAAGAATGTGGTGTTATCAGGGTGTGAGGGAGTTGGAAGTGCACTGAACGCCGAAATTCCTGGAAGTCTGACTGAAATCTTACATAGGCAATGAAAAAATGAAGGAGGATTGGAAGCCCCCTAGAAACCAAATAAAAGCTCCAGGTAATCATTGATCAGCGACATGGCGTTTTGCAATCAACGACTTTCACAGGCAATTACAAAGGAACTCTGGATGAACTACCTTATGCTTTTAAACAGCTTACCGCTGGTAGCTTAGTTCAAAACAATCGACGAAAATGTTATTCAGAATAAACCTTTCGGGGGGCACTTACATCTACAGACTTGAGAGTATGGAAATAAGACATATTTCGGGTTGGGAAAATTGACTAATTTTCAGGTGTCATTAAACATTGCGTGAATATTTATCCCTGTATAAGGTTTCGGGTGGCTTCATGAACACATTTATTCAAGGATACCAACTGATTCCCTGAGTTTTCTTGTAGAGGAGCATCCAAAACTGTACAACATACGACAGTTCGACGGTCGATTCCGACGATGTCCACCGTGTGCTACACAGGAAGGTGCAGCAGGCA